GCTCAAGTGATCTTCCTGTCTCAGTCTCCTGAGTAGCTAGGACTACAGGTGTGTACCATCACACTTGACTAATTAAAATTTCCTTTTCTTTTCTTTTCTTTTTAATAGAGACAGGGTCTCACCATGTTATCCACGCTGGTCTTGAATTCCTGGCCTCAAGTGATCGATTCACTTTGGCCTCCCAAAGTATTGAGATTGCAAGAATGAGCCAACACACCTGGTGCTACTACTTTTTGATTTGAACTTCCATGTAATGCTTTGATTAACTGTTAGAGAAGTATAAAATGTGCATTTGGAAAACACTAAAATAATCTGATTTTTCTTTAAGAAAAAAACTGTTTATGTGTTCCCTAAGTTAATTTTTAAGTCACTTGACTCAGAGGTGTTTTCCCAATTAGTCTCTTATTTGCATATGTTACTATTTTGCTTTGCTATAAAAAAGAATCTAATAGGTAAAGGAAAGGAAGAGGTTAAAATAGCAGTACATTTCATCATAGAGACTTATTGCAGGAGTTAACATTTTGGAAAAATATTTGATTAAGCATCTGGAAGAATTTTGCTAGACTCAAGTGGAAGTATGTTTGCAGAATATTGTGAAACACTTTTCGAAGTGAGGCATTTGTCTTACTGCTAAGTTTTTATTCAGCTGTATTTTCTGGGAAAAATTCTCTATAACTCTGTAAAAGGAAACTAATCACAAATATTTGGGAGTGACATGAAGGAGGTTCTCATTTTCTGTTAGTTGTCCTTAATTCCTATAGAGAATTTTAAAACATTAGTAACATGCAAAAAATAAACATGCACTCACCTGAAGCTACTAAAACATTAGGTTCTCAAACTTGGCTGTACATTGTGATTACTTGGGAATCTTTAAAGTACACTGATGCCTGGGTCCCAAATTTTAAAAGTTTTGATTTCATTGGCTTAAAATGAATGCGGCCTTAAACTTTCCCATCTCCCCAGATGTTCCTGAGGTGAGCCATGTTTGAGAGACCCTTGTGCTAATGAACCTTTCTTGGATCCTGTTCTTAGACCCGCTTTTTGCTGCTGTAATTAGAGTCCTTGATCTCTTTTCAGCTTTCTGACTTCATCCCCCAAAATACTGTTGTAACACTCTTTTTTTTTTTTATTTTTTGAGTTGGAGTCTCACTCGGTCGCCCAGACTGGAGTGCAGTGGCCGCTCCCCGCCGCAGCCTCGCCTGCTGGGCTCCAGCGATCCTTCCGCCTCAGCCTTCCGAGTAGCCGGAATTACAGGCATGCGCTACCACGCCTGGCTGATTTTTTGATTTATTGTAGAGATGAGGTCTCGCTGCCCAGGTGGGTCTCGAACTCGCGGGCTCAGGCAATCCACTCACCTCAGCCTCCCAAAGGCGCGGGATTACAGGCTGAGCCACCGAGCCCAGCTCTTTTTTTTTTTGAGTTGGAGTATCACTCTGTCACCCAGGCTGGAGTGCGGTGGCACCCTCTTGGCCACTGCAGCCTCGACCAGCTGGGCTCAGGCAATCCTTCTGCCTCAGTTTTCCAAGTTGCTGGAACTACAGTCGTGCGGTATCACACCCAGCTAATTGTTTGATTTATTGTAGAGATGAGGTCTCACCATGCTGCCCAGGCTGGTCTTGAACCCGCGGGCTCAGCCAATCCTTTCATTTCAGCCTCCCAAAGTGCTGGGATTATAGGCTTGAACTACTGCACCCGGCCGCAACACTTTTTAATCATAACTTTTAAAGAATTTTAATTCCCAATTTGCACATCACTAACAGTGTAAGCGTGTAAAAAATTACTAGTGGAAAATGAACTTAAAAGACCTGCATTTGATTGGATTGAACAATATTGAATGGGTCTACTCATCAACAAATGTATTGACATGAATATTAAATTCCAAAGTAATACTTGCTCTTTCCCTGGATTAACCAACTCTTTGTTTAGCTGAATTTTGGGTAATAGAATGATAATTGCTGTTTATCCAAAGTAAGCCCTAGCATGAAATCAATAAGATTTACTGCCATCTCCTTTATGTGGTTTGGGTGTGTGTTGGTCAAAACCAGATACAAACAGAAACTTTGGTTGGTAACTCATCTGAACACACAGGCATTAATTGATTTGTAATGGGTATTTTGAAAGATTTTGGGGCTGATATAAGTGTAAGAGAAAGGTTATTCTATGTCACCTAGAGTCAAAAGTCATGTAGCTATCTCTTTATTCAGGCAAATGGTTTGATTTCTCTCTACCTTTCCCTCCTTAGTGAAGCCAAGGCAATTCTTTATTGACAGGGAGACCAGCCACCCCAGTTTGCCTGGGACTGAAGAGTCTCCTGAGCAAACTGGGATGAATTGATCACCTTGACTGATACAGTGAAAATTAATAAGACTTTAAGGAGACTTAAGGTGATTGGGTGAGAAGTTATTCATGATATAGTTTGCTATTATATAAATTCTGATTGTAAATGGAGGGTTAGTGAGTGCTTTCTGCATCTGGTATCATAACTTTATTTCAGCTTGTCATATTCTTTTTGAATATTCTTCAAAAGATTTTTCTTGCAATGCTCAAACTTTACCTTGAGAAAAAAAAATATTTTATGCACATTTCCTAAACTTCAAGAAAGAAATAAAATAGTGCTCAAAATAGCAGAATGAATTGATGCTAAAATAGAGAAAAAATTTTATTTTTAGATTTGCTTAGAGACTATAATACCCTATTAACATAAAGAAGTTCTGTTAGTAAATTAATAGGAAAAAACTAATGGAGTTTAATATGGATCCATTCTTGCTCAAAATAAATATCAAAAGTTACCACATATAAATAACTGCACAAAGAATACTCATTACAGATATTTGTGTATTGGTTATTTTCTAGCCTTTTTGAAATAATCATGCAGTAAAGAAAAATTTATAATTTTGCACCAGGGAATTAGCATATTTTAGTTAAATGAGAAACGTTTTTTGCAATGATGTGACTGTCATGGGTTCTTTTTACCTAATTTCAGATTGTTAGGGGCTGTTTTTCTATTCTTTGGGCATAAAGGGTCAGAAACACCCATTGTTGCCCTAAAGAGATGATGAATCAAGTTTTAGAAGATGCTCAGTTCAGAAAATATCAAAAGCAATCTTTTAAAAGGGAGATTTAAAACCTAGGGCATTGCAAATCTGTTAGATGATCTTAGGACTAAAATACACCTGCTTTTAGGTTAACAATTGTTAAAGGAGTCAAGAGACCTGAATCTAGAACCAGCTGCATCGATCCAGTGACAGTGTGTGTAAAAACAGCTTCACTGCTCTGGGCAACAGTTTATTTGCCTATAAAATGAGAGATTTTTGACTATCTTGTGCTTATGATCTCTTAAATCAGGGGTCCCCATGCCCCAGGCTATAGACCAATACCAGTTCATGGCCTGTTAGGAACCAGGCTGCACAGCAGGAGGTGAGTTGTGGCAAAGCAAGCTTCATTTATGCTCGCAGCCACTTGTATCACTTGCATTACCAACTGAGCTCTGCCTCCTGTCAGTTCAGCAGTGGCATTAGATTCTCATGGGAGTGTGAACCCGATTGTGAACTGTACGTGTGAGGAATCTAGGTTGTGCACTCCTTATGAGAATCGAATCCACCGCAAATCTGAACAGTAAATGTAATGTGCCTGAATCATCCCCAAGCCATCTCTCCCCCCAACCCCCATCTGTTGAAAAATGGTCTTCCATGAAACTGGTCCCTGATGCCAAAAAGGTTGGGGTCCGCAGTCGTAAATGTTTACTATCCTAAAATTCCATGTACAGTATTCTGATGATGTTTTAGTGGATTTGTGGATTTCTACCTTCCTTTTCTCTAGCACTGTACCAGTCTCAGAACAATAGCCCACACTCCTAGAATTTGAGAAAATGGCATCTTCATCAGAGGACAGAGATACATAGTTCCTATAGTTTGGTTGTTTGTCTCCCCAAACCTCCAGTTGAATGAAAATTGATCCCCAAAGTTGGAAGTGAGGCCAAATGGGAGGTGTTTGGGCCATGAGGGCAGATCCCTTATGAACAGATGAATGCCCTCCCTGGAAAGGAGATGAGTGGATTCTCCCTTTATTAGTTCCCCCGAGAGCTGGTTGTTTAAAAGAGCCTGACATCTCCCTGCTGTTTCTCTTGCTTCCTCTCTTGCCATGTGATCTCTGCTCACACTGACTCCCCTTCATTCTTTGCCATGATTGAAGGCAGATGTTGATCTGGCAGAAGTAGATGTTGGCACCATGCTTCTTGTACAGCCTGTAGAACTGTGAGCCAAATCTCTCTCTCTCTCTCTCTCTCTCTCCCCTCTCTCTC